GTTATTGTCCTGGTGTCCACTAGGGGCATCACAGCTGTATTATGGAGCACTGCATCAAAATCCATGTTGTTGCTAATCTTTGACGTATCCCACACTAGGAAAAAATAAAAACCCGAGCATTTAGTGTAGAGAAAATAATTCAACTGTTTCTTCCATAAAAAACAACAGTGGCATTATGTAAACAAACATACATTTTAAGGCTTAAAAATCTGAAAATGAAGAAATAGTTGGTAGTTATGATCAGGACTGATGTTGGTTAAAAGATTTAACTCAGTAAAAGTGGAAAATAATCTCAATATATAGTGTTTTTATGGCAGCTCTTTTACATCAGACCAAAAATGTATTTATAAGGATTAAATGCATAATGTAGATTTTCTGATTTTAAATGTTTTTTTTGTTTTTTTACCGTACAGTCATTTGCTTCAAATTAATTATTTGATTGTTTACTTGTGTTACCATCTGTGGTTAAGTTTACTTACATTTTAGATTTTTAGAATTTAGAATTTAAATATTAAATATATTTACATATTGCCCTAGTCTTTATGAATACAATTTTAAGTTTAAAAATAAAATCGGAGGAAAATGTGATCGAAACAGTGACAAGCTAACCCCCCTCCCCTCCCCCATGTCGTAAACGTACCCATGTCGTAGACGTTCTTGGCGGGCGCGGTGGTCGCCGTGGCCACGATGGCGGCGGAGCAACAGTGGGTCATGTGATCTTGGTGACCCGGCGACTTCATCTCCACGTAGCTGCTCTCGGAGTGTTTGCAGGCGGCGGGCGCGTCGTTGATGGTGGCGTACGGGTTTTCACTGTTGAGGGAGCAGGTGCTGGACAACGAGCCCTTCATGTAGTCTGGAAGATAAAGAGCGTCAAACCTTCACGTGTGGAGAGACGACGCTCTGTGACTCCTTCACATGGAGCGGTTATACAATACTGTCACTGTGCGCTCTCCATCATACTGCTGCCGTATTCATATTAATTAAAGGATAATATTCTTCTATAAAAGACAAAACTACAAACTATTTTTAAAAGATCAAGACAAAATATAAACTAATACAAGCAGCTTTTCCGCTTTCTCCTTGTTTTTATGAATCATAGAAATATTTCCTGAAACCCGTTTGACTCGGTCATCACAACAGTTATCATGGAGACCGCTTTGTGATAACGTGAATTATCAGCAGGGCGCTCACTCAGATGATGACTCCAACACATTTCTGTAGATTCTGCTTTTAGAGGATGAAGCTGCCGTTATTTTTCCTCATTTGTCAAAAAATCTATCTTTCTCACAAAACTCTTCTAAACTTCTAAAGACTCTCCCAAAATCCTATTTCCTAAAACAGCTGGTCACTGTAGTTTTTTAATCAAACAAACAGGAGGAAAAAGTGCGTTTGTTAGGAACTATTTTGCGCGGCGGATTAATCCACATTTGGGAATCACCAGACTCATCCTGTAATAAACACACATGTTAGAGACAACAAAGGTTTCACTGCAAGGACAACATCAACATTCAAAGGCAGTTAAAACAGAAGAAACAACTCAGCATTCAGTTATTGAAAAGGAAAGACCCCCCGGGTGAGTTTTGGGAGTGATGGGGGTCGAAGCAGAGAAGGAACAACACACAGAGGAGTCGGACTCGTCCTGCAGAGACACAAAATAACATGTAAACAACATCAGTTACAAGCGTTGCATTCAAGGACACGGAGCATTCAGGTACAGGCCCCAGAGGGTTATTCATGCTGCACACAGCGCCGCCTCATCCACGTGTAAACTTCACAGGTGAGTAAAATGTCTTCCTCTGCTCTTCTCTCATCAAGAGTTGCAGAACTCTGTTAATCTCTGTTCTACTTCTGATAGATTCCTACATTTCCCAGAAATCCTTTGGCCAACCTTTGATGTGTTCTTTGCATTTTGAGTAAGTCACACTCCTGTACATGTAGACGTGTATGCATTTAGATGTAGGCTAATAACTAGAGGACTCTATGCTTTTTAATGGCTGCTGCATTTAAATCAAATGTAAATATTCTACATTTCATAAACATTTACCCCAAAATAAGTTTTCTTTGGAAACTTTAACATTTTAAACAAAGGAATGTTCGACTTCCCTTTCTTATATCAGTACTTAGATAATAAGACGAGATCATCTTTAGAAGTTTTGGCAGGTCAAAGTTTTTCTGTCAGGGTTATTTTTTCCTGCGCGATAAACACAAGCTACATATATTGTTATGTAAATAAGTAAAACTCACCTAAATATAATCATACAGTGGTACTGTTGTGATCCAAGCTGAAACAATATTACTACTTCTGTATATATATACTCCCGTATCTTTTAAAACAGCAGGGAGGGGAGGGGGTCGTTTGTTTTTATTTTGAAATTAAAAAGTAAAAAAAAACTAAAAATAAAAAGAATTACAACACTACACAAATGTAACTGGCAAAACTTTTTTTTTTTACATTTCATATATGAAACAAATTACGGAACTTGCAAAGAATATCCTGGCAAAACTTTTTTTCACCTGTTCTTAAATCATAAGAAGAGAAAATAATTTAGATCCGACTTCACATTGTTTCTTCTCATTTCACCTCACAGGCTTCCGTAGCCGGCAGTCTGGATACTGAAACTGATATATGTTCGAATTATCCAACATTAAGAAAAGTCATTTAAGAACCCACATTTTGTCCTGAAAGTCTGTTTTTCTAAACACATTCTAATAGTATAAATAATCTACATAATCAATAAGATCATTTATAAACCTTTGAGGACTCGGAGTTAGAAGAACTGCTTATTATCTTCTCTGTGTCTGATTTGATTTTCTCTCACATATGATCACATGTGAATTCCAGTCAAACAAAACAAACTGCAGTACGAGGTTCAAAATGCAAGCTGGGCAGTCATTGGCCGAGGGGAACTGTTCGAGCAAGAGGATTGGTTGAGGGGTCGGAGGTTGATGAGGTCACGCGGGATGACTCCGCCCTCTCACTGTACCTCTGTAGCGCGGCTCCACGTGGTAGCTGTAGCGCCGGTCGATGCAGTAAACACCTGCACAGAAACCAGAGAAAAGAAAGAAGTACTTCTATGTACTCTTGAGTATTTGCACTCCGTTACTGCGGATCGATATAGCTCAATGTAGCTCGTCTAGCTATGTTGGTGACGTAGATCGTGCGAGACCAGAGATGTAGTTCACTGATCAGCGTCACACCAAACTAAATGATACTACGACAAATATGACAAACAGACTTGTTTTTAAATGATCTTTTAAATTGACAAACATCATGTTTATGTGTAATTCAAACGGGATAAAAACATGATTTGTCTTTGTGGCCAAACTTAACTGCTTGACTTAACAAAAAATGACGACTAAACACTAAATGAAACATTTCGGGGGATAGTTTCATGAAATAACAATAGAATGATTTGATTGTAAAGTGTTTTTGGGGGAAGATGTTTTTAGTTTTTTCATAGCAGATCAAACTTGATCAACTTTAAAGCTGCAGCGTCAGAATACAGACTGTCCTTCAGTCCTCACATGTTTCTGCAGAAATCAAACATTGTGAACCGTCATTCCCTTCGTCGTGAGATAAAACGAGGCAGACTGACCCATGTCACTGAGGTTACAGTAGGCCCCCCACTCTGGAGCGCTGTTCCTGTGGCGCTTCTTCTTCTTCACCTGGGAAACGCACAGAGAGTGAGAACACGTTAGAGAGCACTAATAACATCGTTAATTTCGTTTCCAGCGAAATATTAATGACTTCATGAAGTGACTTTGCTTTTGTTAACATAACTGTTGCTGCTCTAGCAACAATATCCAGTTATATCTAAATAATAAATAACTTCTATTCCTGTTCTGAATTTATTTGTTTTTAAAATTCTATATATGTTTTTAAAAGCACTCCTTTAGTCGTGAAAAAGAGCAGAGTATTGATGAGAGTATTCCCTTGTAGTAAAGATAACTCTCTATTACCTAAAGGTCCACGTCAGTTCTCTGACACGCTTGGAAATGGAGGACTGAGCTCAGCGGTATTTAGTTGGTTGCAATCTGCTTCTCCACCACTAGAGGCCACTAAATCCCACACACTGTTCCTTTAAGGTAAACTGCTGTGAGCACCATAAAGTTCTGTTCACAGCACCTGCATTGAGTTGAAGGCAGACATCTCTAAACCTCTGTGTTCACATCATGATGCTCGGTGCTCAAACACAGTCACAGTTGATGGACGATGTTTTCCTCATGTTGAGTTTTTAACGGGAAGATGTCGGCCATTTTATCTGACCATTTTGTTGCTGCTGTTTACATTCATTATGATGCAAATTTAACAAATGCACGACAGGAATGTACTGCGGATTTTGTTCTGTTTGTCAAGTGTTCGTTGTGTAGCAAACAAGCTACAAATGAATTCTGTTGCATCCCTGTGTTGCATAATGACAATAAATGAAATTTGAATACTATTTTAAACTCTGGACAAATCAAACCAACCACTGGATAAGATAAGTGAGAAAATCCGTTTACCGTAAAAAAATGTAAATAACAAATATCCCTTGTATATGTGAAATCTGAAACGTCTCGACAGAAACAAGCTGCAGCTGAAATCACACCTGCAGATGTTCAGCACAAGCGAGAGCGTCCTTTGAACCCACCTTGGCGGCGCCCCTCTTGTCCGGCTTGGCGTAGTGGCCGGCGTAGCTGCAGGGCCCCAGAGTTCGGTAGCTGGGGTTGGAGAAGCATCGGCCTACGGAGCTGTTACTGGGAGAGGACTCTGGAGAGGAGAGCAGGCCTGTGCACTGCAGCCCTGCTGTCACCACAACCAGCACATGTTCTTATACATCCTCCCCCTCTACAACGTCAACACAACACAGGCATGTGCACACGCACACAGCGCACCAGGTATCTACGCACTGACAGGTAAAGAGAAAGGAACTCCAGCTGGAACCCAGAGGAGGAACTTCAGTGTTGTAGAACATTTTCTTTACCTGCTGATTCCTGTTTATGCTCATAGAAGGATAAGAGCGACACAGATTCATTCATTCATCATTTATGTAACATTTGCTGCTTTTATCCACTAAAACGTGAGAATTCGCTGCTTTTCTGTTTGATATCATTGTAAGTTTAATATCTTTAGCCTGAGACAAAAGAAACCACATTCCACACTGTCTGACATTCTATGAACTAAACACTTAATTACAGAATAAGTTCCAGTGGTAGTTCAGGTGTTCCAGTCTGCTCGGATGTTTGAAGGAAGAAAGCCCCCTGGAGGCAAAAGCAAAGCCCCCAGAGATGCGCACGTCTTTACCTGAGAGGGAGTAGTCGGTGGAGTTGATGTGCAGGGCCGGCGTGTAGGTGACGCTCGGCACGTGGTGGCCTTTCTCTCTCTGCCGGTAGCGGAACCAGACCACCAGGCCGAGCATGGCCATGATGAGCAGCAGCAGGAAGATGATGCCCAGGACGGCGCCGGCTGACTGGCGCTCTGAAGCCAGAGCCGGGCTGATCTTGGTGTAGGGGTTCAGTTCCTCCATCATCAGGGCCGCTGAGGGGAACAGGGAACAGGTGAACATCTGAACTCCTGTGACTAACAGGCAGCATCGCTTCAACCAATCCTCATATGAAAGCTGCTACGAGGAACCTTCTGTTCGTCTTGGTCTTCTCCTCCCCGTGGACTAAAGTGGTAGTGCTCCTGAGAACCAGACTCCCTTCAGAAAACCTCTCATTTCACTGCAGCAGGGTCTGACAGTCTGCCCCTCTCAGTGCTGGTTCTGGTTCTCCCGTGGATATATAAACAGACCATCTTCTCTCTGATGGTCTGGTTTACTGAAGGAGGTCATATATAGGATCAGGACTACACTGA